TGACGCCCGCCCAGCGGGGGCCGGAGCGCGGGACGGCCTGGCGTTCGTCCCGCTGTGTGCGAAAGCGCGCGTTACGCGCCCGGACCGTTCGACAGCCGGAGGGGTCGGCATCACGCATCCGCTGCCAAGAACTCAGCCACATCGCCCGTTCCAGCGACTCCCAGCTCCTGGTGACTGACCGTTTCCTTCGAGGTCGCGACACCGTTTTCGGGTTAGCGAATTGTTGCTGTTCCGTGCTCCCTTCCCGCTGAACTGGAAATAAAGACATCGACACTCACCTGCCGCGTACTGTTTATTTGATAGACGAGCGTGGGGTCCTTCAGGACAGAGACTGGCCTCATGTTTCACGGGCACACGCAGCCTCGTGGCCACGGGCGCCGTGTCCCGCAACAAAACGCCCCCTCCGCCTGACAACGGGGCGGCCCCTGTCCTCTGCTGTGGCTGCCTTGGAGGTGGAAAAGGGACCCTTCCTCTCCAGCTTTCCTCTCGGCAAGATCGCTAACCACCCAGCGGGCGCGCGTGCTGGTAGGACGAGGAATTCATCCGGGTGTAAGCAGAGTTGACAGGATGTCTTACCGACAGCCGCGGTGTGTTCCAATTTAGCCAGGTCCCCTCGACTCCGAGCGTGTGTTTATGAGCCCGCGACATCCACACGTACTTGCTAAACCCAAGTTTGAGACAAAGCAGTGAGAAAAAGGCAACAAAAGACGGGAACCCAAGGGCCTCGCGTTCCCTTGGCAACGAAAGGCTCCCCGCGCTGGGACTGAAGAGGCAGTGTCCATCCCCTCCTGGCAGTCACCTGCTCCTGTCTGAGTCGTCCCCAGTCCCTCCCTCCCACCCGCTGGCCAGCCACAGGGCCAGCCACACGGCCACCCCGGGAGGAGGCGCAGCTCTAAGACTCCCTGTCATGCACCAAGCTGCTGGGAGAAGTCGCGACGGCTCCGCGGCTCCCAGAGCCAGTGTGTGGTTGGCGACTCTCCTTAACTTCTGGGGTCACTGCCCTACACAGCTGCCCGACTACCCCGTCCTGTGACAGGCTGCTGGCGTTCCCACCACAGTCCTCATTGCCATCACTTTCCTGGGCAGCACCTGGACCCGCCACGGCTGCTCAGCCTTCCTGGCACCTTCGCCGCCCACACCACGCGGTCAGACCCAACACTGTCATCGCCAACGACCACACACACCGTCCAAACACCCTGGGCCCCGACGCATCCCCTCTGTCCGTACCCATCGCTCCCTCGCTGCACTCCACTGTCAGTGCGTCTGCGGCCGCCTCTGCGCCGTCGGAAACCGTCTCGGGACAGGGAAGGCGTGACGGGTTTTCCGTCTCCTGCACTGATGCGCTCTCCGTGGAGACCATGCTCGATGAGGTGGAAGAGCCTTGCTGGCGAAGGTTCACGACGAGCCGCCACTTCTGCCTGCCCGTTGATGCGATTCCTCTGCAGTGTCCGTCAGCCACACACACTGCCGAGGAGGAAGGCAGGTGATCCTGGGCTCGGTCCCGTGCCCTAAGTCACACGTGCGACACGCGGTCTTAGCGGCCACTGCTTGGCGCTGTGGGAACCTGTCCTGGGATGAAGGCACACGGGAGCCACAGAGGAGGACGATGGGCCAGTCTGGTATCTTCTCTCACGGTACTCGTGCTGCCCCCGAGCACACTGTGCCGACAGGATCACAACCTCCCTCAGGCGAAACTTCTCAAGACTCAAAGTTTCCAAACTCCGAGTAGTTCAGCTCGAATAATGACTCACCAAGGATACGTCCTAACAACGTCATGTTCTCACTATTGCACTTTTAAAAATGAAAGACAGAAAATATCAGCACGCACACCGGTAATAGGGGTCCATTTCTGTGAATACTCACACGTACTTGCACGTACTGTGTGTGGGTACTAGGTCATGTGACGAAATTTCTTACTGGGGTCACTATTCTCAAAAGGGTAAGGAAGTCACTCACCTGAAGCATTGGTTCGCATGTTTTTATTCCATTAAAAACAAAAGGAAACTTACACCCATACTCAGAACAGAATACACTTATTTAAAGCTTCGACAGTGTACAAAATTAAAGTTTGTATAGTTAATCCAAAGTTTAACATGAGTATCATCGTGTAAGGCAATTTCTTTCTATCAATAAAATAACAAAACGTGCATATTATTCTGGAAGCAAATCATCTCCTAACTCTTCATCAGCAAAATCATCCTCTTCGATTCTTTTTTTGGCCGCAGTTTTTGGTCTTTCTACTTGAGGGCCAAGTGGATCCACGTAGGAGGCATCTAGGTTTCAAAACAGATTGTTACGTTAGAGTATTATAAAAACGAAACGAGGCAAATGTGACACCTCATAGTTGACAGTGAACAGCTCAGAGTGGACAGGAACGCTCTCGCGGCTCACGTAAGACGCCGGCCAAGCGCAGGAAACTCAGGGCCCAGGAACGCATCTCTGCCACCTCACCGCTCTCTCCGGCCCTGCCGTGCCTGTGGGGACTGAGCGGGCAGAAGCACTTGCCTATTTCTTTGTTACTGCTACTTTCATAAGGCTCGTTTGTCCCGGGTAAAGCTCTGAGTTTGGCGCTTAGTCGTTCACCTTTACTACTGGCACTGTAGTTCTGGCCACTGTCTGAAAACACAAAAATAAAAATGCGTTTGTTTAACACGCCGAGAAAACACAGTGCTACACACGCAGGTAAGCACACTCGTTTGCCAAGAAATAGGCGGGCTGTTTTGTTTGGGAGCCGACTTCCGAGGGATGGAATCCTTGTTTTCTGAAATTTAAAAGGAATCGCTTGCTGGGAATCTAATACAGAGAAAACATCCCTTATGGGTCATCTTGTTATGTGTTCTTCCACGTGTGTGCTAGTTTTGGTTTCAGTCTGGCAGATTCGCTTGTGAGAAGTAAGAGGCCGCGTGGACGAGCGTCACCTAGCCGAGCGCGGGGCAGCCAGAGCGAGCGCCAATGGAGCGACAAGGTCGCTGGGAGCTGCACCGTCAAGCTCGTGCCCAGGCCGTGGGAGCTCAGCCCAGGCGGGAGGGAACCCGGGTCACGCGGCCTCTTCACACGTCTGGAGGACGTCCACACAGAAGAGGGGGCGGTCTGCCCTGCGAAGACGGATTCGGCTCAATATAAGGAAAAACTGAAGGACTGTGGTGTCTGAACGTGGCATGGCTGCTGCGGGACGTAATGCAAAATCACTGAAGGTTTTCAGACGGGGCCGAGCACTCACGGTAGCAGGAAACGTCAGTGGTAGTTTTCAACCCCAAATCGCTTGTACACTTTCTGCAAGAGCCATGCCTCGGCCCCACGGTTCCCCTTCTTCCCCTTGAGGCTCCTACAGCGTTATTTTTCCCGTCGTGAACACTTCGCTCCTGTGAGGGCGTCTGTTGATACGCACAGGGCACCTTTTCCGAGTGTGCTTTATATTTTAGCTTATTGATTATGCCTCCGGGAATAAATCGAAACCGGGTAGACCTTAAAACCCCCACATTTCAAGGTTAGCCAACATATTCAAAACTGTGAATCCTCTCTGGGTTCTTAGCAAAAACGGCTGCCATTTTCTCCGCCCCCCCGCCCCCACCTATTGTTATTGCTGAAAACAAAATGCCTTAGTTTAATGCACTGAATGCATCTATGCATTTTGTTAAATTTTGATGTTATTGTTATTTTGTTCAACTCTCTATAATTTTTTGGTATAATTAAGTCAAATTTTTTCCCTCTACAAGTATAAATGGGTGTCCTTCCAAGTGCCCAAGAAAGTGGTCAAGAAAGTTTGAAAATCACTGCTTTAGGCCAATTTCTTTTATTTCACTTCTCACACAGACACTGACATCTCCCTTGGAGATCCGAAGCCTCCTAGAACCCTAACGAGTGATTCCTGCCTGCAGGCTTGTAGTCCTCCGAGGGAGCAAACCCTTAGAAATGAGAACCACCTCCTCGGAAAGCTGAGAAGCCACGAGCACAACTTTTAAACATTCTCCATCACAAAAACCACTGAGGGTGCACTGCGAGCACCCATGCTTCATTGTTTTCAGCCGACCCTCATGGGTAGGTGCCTGGGCATCGACAAGCGTCTGCCAGCCTGGCGGGTTTCTGTCTGATCAGCACGAGTTACTGCACAAACGACAACGACTGTTTCCTAGGGACACGCTGAAGAACAAGCAGCTTCAGAAAATGGAACCAGGAGACGACTTCCCTGAATTATCAACCAACACGAACATCCAAACCCGATACTTTTAAAAATCTTAAAATCATAGAATTGAAAGTAACAAGGACTCCTGAAACTTACCTGTACTGGAGAAATAAAACTAAAATGTACAATGTGTACAAAGACGTTAACTCTCAAAGTAAACGTTACAAATGGGAAATAAACATGTACAAATGGTCAATCTTACTTAACTTAGAAACATGTTAAGTGAAGAGAAGCAGGCCAGAACACTATGCACTGAAAATGGCAGTGTTTTTTGAATACCATTTTTAGAAAGCTTAAACACAAGCGAAATTAAATGTTGTTTGCATACATGATAAAATTGAATATGAAAAGGCAGAAAGCTGAAAAATGTAAACCAGAATAAATGTAAAATATAAAACTCACGGTGGTTATGTGTGGGGAGGCAGAGACACGTGGGAAAAGCACATGGTAGGCATGACAGCCAGGTTCTGGTTCTAATGTTTTATGACAGACCCACTCATTTAAATTTCATTAATATGCTTTATAATGGTGCCACAGATTCTTTTGTTGGTACCAAATAGTACGTAATTCACATAATTCTAAATGTAAGATTCTAACGTAAGATTCAACATCACTTATTGAAATGATAAAGATTTTAAAAATATCAGATTAGCAAGTGACATGAACAGGTTTCCTGAGGTCAGAAGACTTAGCATTCTGCAGTCGCAAGGTCGTGGGACAGGAAGCCCGAGACTCTGCTCCACCACAGACACGAGGTAACGACGAAGCGAGTTCCAGGAGCCTTCGTGAGAGCTCCGGAAACCAGTTAGGAAGCCGCAGTCCCCAGGTGAGCTCAGAGCCAGAACAGCTTCATGGGAACACGTGAGAAAAGCCGGTTCATCTCTGCTGTCGGTCCCTACCCGCCAGCCAAGCCCCTTCCCCCACAGCTCGCAATGGGGAGAAAAGCCCGACCTGCAGGCTCTCTCCCTTGGGGGGGAAAGAGAAAGCAGAACGCATGTCGAACATTCGGGATTTTCAGGGAGCTGCCTGAGAGGCTGGTTCCTCTCTCGGCTGACTGGGCTGCTGGTGAGGAACCGGCACACCTGAGCTACAGAGAACCAGGAGGAGGGCCTGGCGGCTCAGGGCAGCACCATGCCGCCTCCCGCCACAGATGGCAGCCAGCACAGCTTGTTCCCGTCACAGCACAGCTCGCCATGGGCAGAACGTGTCTAGCTGGTGAATGACTTTTTTGAGGGGGAAGCTGCCTGAGGGCCTAGTTTCTGCCTCACCTGACTCAGAGTGCTGATGGGGACCGGCCTCTCTTGGGTGCTTGGGGGTTGCAGAGAACAAAGCGGGGTCAGCAGCTGGCTGCAGGGCCAGAGAACCTGCAGCACTACGGATGCTGAAAAAGAACCCATCGAACCTCTCTAGCTGGGGAGTTCCACGACAGACCCAGGGAGAAGATGAACCCCATGAAAATTCCGGGACACTCCCATAACTTCCAGCGGGGCTGACTGGCGAAGGTCCTGCCTTGTACAAAGCAAGTGGCTGTTGTTTTCAGATGAAGAAAACACAGCAAAAAGTAACAAGACACACAAAGAAACAGGGTAACATGACCCAGAGTAACGAAGTAAGTGTCCATAAGTTGACCCTAAAGAAATGGAGAGCTATGGATCATCTGACAAAGAATCCAAAATGATGGTCTTAAACGAGCTTGGTGTGCTAGAAGACGGATAGGACACGGAATCAGAAAAACGGAGCCTGGACGAAATGAGACTGTCGACAAAGAGACGGAAGCACTGAGAAAGAACTGAACGGAAATTCTGGAGCTGAAGATGGCAGTGCAGTGACTGAAAGTCCCCCGGAAGGGGGCAAGACCAGATGTGATCAAACATAACAGAGACTCTGTGAACTCAGAGACAGATCACCTGAAATTAGAGTCAGAGGAACAAAAAGAAAACAAAGTGAAGAGAAGTGAAGAGGACTACAGGACGCCAGAAGCAGAGCAATATACATGTTATGGGAGCCCCAGAAGATGAGAGAGACAGACAGACAGACAGACGATCTGAAGAAATAATGAATGAAACTTCCCAAATATGAGGAAGGAAATGAACATCCAACTTCAGGAAGCTCAAAGGACTCCAACTAGGATGGACCCAGAGAAGCTCACGCCAAGACACATTACAACCAAACTGTGCGAGGTCGGAGAGGGTCTTAACATCAGCAAGAAGAAAGCGACTCGGCACATACAGGACTGGCTTATGGTTGTCACATCTCTCAGCAGAAACTTCACGGGCCAGATGGCAATGGGTTGGCATATTCAAAGTGCTGAAAGAAAAAGCTGCCAACCAAGAAAACTATATCTGGCCAAATGGTCCTTCAAAAATGAAGTTAAGACCTTCCTGGATAAACAAAAGCTGAGGGCGTTCACCACCTGCCTAGCAGGAATTCCAAAGGGAGTCCCTCAAGGCGAAATAAAAGGATGCTGGACAGCGACACAAAAGCACATGAAAATATAAAGGTCCCTGGTAAAGCTAAGTAGATGGACAAACACAGAGTCTGTACCACTGTCGTGGTGGAGTGTAAATCATAGAACATAAACGATAAAAACATAAAAATAGCTGAAGAGTTTTATAACTACAGTTATAAAACTATGCCAATGAATTAAACGTACAAAAAGGTAACCTGCAACGTTGGTAACATGAAGTGGGGGAAGGGACATTACAAAGCAGAGTTTTCTATTCGAAGTTGTTGGTTTGGATCGCTGTACCTACAGGACGTTATGTGTAATTCTCATGGTGACCACGAAGACAGTATCTATAGAAGACACACGAACGGAAAGTGGAGCTCGCCTCCAGCAGGTCCCCTGCCGAGACGGCTGTGTCGCCGGCACTGTCTCAGTGGGAAAACCTGACAGTCCCTTTCAGACTTCGGGACTCGGCTGACCAGACACGCGTCCTGTAGGTCCCAGCCTCCCTGCCACCGCACTGCCCCAAGTCAGGAACCCTGTCGGCTGCCGCCTCTCAGCTTCTCAGGGCTTGAAAGTGCTATCCAAGAGGCAGCCTTCGGCAACCCTCCCTGTCCCTGAGTGTCTCCCACACCTCTGCTTCAGCAACGCTCCTCGCTGAACTAAACCCGTTTCACGATCCATCTCTCATCCAGCCCCAAGACGAGACGCGGCCCCGCTGACGCGGCCACTAAGGAAAGGCGCTGACAGCTGGGGACACGGCAGGCTTCGGCAGCGCTTCGCAGGCCTCTCATCATCAGCCACTGAGCAGCTCCCTCCTGGGTTCCTGAAGTCGACGGGCAAGTGGCCCGTCCTTTTGCTGTGCGCACGCTGACCTTCCTTTGCCCTGTCCCTTTCTGAAACGTGAGGGGCAGCATGGCCGCGCCCTCTGGCTCCTACCACCTAAGGAAGCCAGGGCACGTCAGCACGGGCGACGCGAGCCTCACGTAACGCTCCGAGGCCCGTGGCTAGGACCGAGCTCACTCTTCGTTGTCTCCGCCGCGGCTGTCGGCTGACTTCAGCACTCACTCCCTCCTCCTGGTCTGTGTCACTGCCCAGCAGAACAGCTAGCAGGGTACGGTGAGGGTGGCCAAGGTGGCTCTGATGGCAACTGCAGCAGGGGACGTGCAGAGGGGTCAGTGAGGACGTGAAATTACACGAAATTCAAAATTCAGTGTCCATGTGCAGTTCTAGAAGGCCCAGCCACGTCCAGCCAATTACAGGTGTATGGCCACCGGGAGACACAGCGGCCTGAGGAGACAGCCTGGGCCTTCACTGGAAAGGGCCCAACGCCCAGCTTAGAGACCGCTGTGCCAGACACAAGTGGCACGTCAGTGGGCTGGACCAGCAGGTGGACTCACCTCGCCCCAGCTCCCCAGCTTCTGTGACAAGGAACGCACAAGCTGCTGCCACCTGCCTTCCTCCAACCGTCCCACCGTTAACAAACTCCACCCGTGGCTCACAAGCCTCGGCGCGCATGGACACCAGGATGGCCAGCATGGCCACTCTTCAGGTTTCTGGGGCGACGAGGGCGCTTCAAGGGACCGAGGCCAACAGCAGTGACACGTGAGAAGCCAGCACCCCAGTCCTGGGGCTCCCGACGGCGCCCTTAGCCCGCAGGGCCCCCTCTCCTGACGCCAGCTGCCTCCTGCTGACTTGGTACCCAGGACTTATGCAGACTTCTACCCCCTCCCTGGACGGTGCTCTCTGTCCCTTCATGTGTAGTGGGCACTAAGCGCGGGCTGTTCCCTCTGCCTGTGACTGCGCAGAGGAGTGCTAGCCAAAGCACTCGCTCACCTCGGACTGCAATCTCAAAATTAAATTTTGATTTTTCAAGAAAAAAAACGTGGTTGCAATGAACGTACTTTGTAAAAGACGCGTTCTTCAAGAAGTCGGTTTACAGTGAATTTCTGTCCCCTGAGCCACGTTATCCCACCAATCTTTACAAAATAATTTTTAGCGCAAAATTAGGAGACACATTTTTGGGGGAAAAGTTCACACTCGAGACATAATAAAAATAAAAAGTAAACTAAAAAATCTGGCGAATCATTAAGCATCAAATAAACAAATCAACTCTAAAACAGAGCCTTCGTGCTGTGCTGCTGAAGTCAGTCCCACTGCCACCGCCGCACCACGGGGGAGGTGCCCGGCAGGACAGACCACGCAGGAGCAGAGGGGCCCTGCGCATTTCCTGGCCAGCCAGCGAGGCCGCGCCCCCGCCCCGCTGACCCCCGTGGACTGCACGCATGCGGACCCCTGCAGGAGCTGCCCTTCCCTGTGACATGTGTGCCACGTGACTTTTTCTCGCAGGTGATGTTTTGGCACTGAGCTGCTAAATTCTTGACCCCAAATTTTGCATGTAAAAGCATAATTCACTTGCACATCAAGCAGTCAAAACTAGTTCAAGTTAATTCTATAAAAGCAAACTAAAGCACTGAGAAGCCGGGAATGGATATTCAAAGTTCTAAACCAAGCACTACTGCTTCTCACTACAGCCCACATCAAGCAATAACAGCAGCTACCACGTCCTCAGCACCCAGCGTGTGCCAGGCCCTATGCTGGCCCCTCCGTGGGCTGTGCGTGTCATGTTCGCATCGCTGCAGGTGACAGCCGGGGCAGAGGTGGGAGGCTGGATGACTGCAGACTGCCACGTACCGTGTGTGGATTTCAATCTGGTGGCAATAGGAGCAACAACCTTTCTGTATACACCGTGTCACATTGAATCCTGGACTATCAAAGTGTGGTCCCAGGTTCAGAAGCATCGGCTGGGCCTTGTCAGAAATGCAAATTCCGGGCCTCGGCAGACTGGGGGCGCTGGGCAGTCTGCTCTCACAGGCCCTCCAGGACCACGGAAGAGGGAGCGGCCGAGGCTTACCGGACAGAATGCCACAGAAATAAGGCTGCAATGACATCAGTCTGAGCCATAAAAGGAAATCAATGTTCAAGGGCCCTCAGGCATTTTTCAGAAACAGCGATTTCACGTAAACTAGTGGGTGATCATGTGAGCTCCCTACAGGGCAAGCCTTCAAAACCTGCGCTGCAGACCCCGCCTCTGACACACAGCAGACAGCTGGCCTCACCTGGATGCATGTGAAAACCGTCCCTTTCTCCTGACTGTGGGCCTAACCAGTCGGAGGGCCCAGTGCCCCAACGTCCCAGTGCAGATGTGCATGTGCCGGGACCGCGGGGAGAGGCAAGCTGGGGAGCCCGGGGGATTCCCGGATGGGCCCTGGCGAGAGCTAAGTGACGCCAGCCAGAGCGAGCGGAGCTGGCGAGGGCAGGTGCACCCCGAGTGTGCAGGGCGCTCGGGGGCCCCATGGATGGAGGAAGGAGACGTGGGAGAAGCGAGCACAGCGTGGCTGGCTCCGACTTCAGAGCCGGGGACCGCCCTGCCCCGCGGCCAGGAACGAGCACCAGGAAGGAGGCAGGATGCGTCCCCTGCGATCCTGAGACGTCGACCCGGCTGCTGGGCAAAGCAAAAGACCAGGGGCAGGAGGCACAGGGCAGGGGACGGGCCGGCGGGGAAGGCAGCCCTGTGCCATGCACCGGGGCCGAGCAGCAGGGACGTGAAGCTGCTTGGGAAGATGCTCCGTGACCAGCTTCCTGTCCAGGACTCCCGTGTGTAAGAAGCTCCTCTGGGCACGAGGGCCGAGTGCTGGCGCCCACGGAAACAGGCTGGGCCAGAGGGAGAGAGGGTGCTGGGGGAGGCCCGCCAGGCCCGCCCACACCAGGGTGTCACATCAGGCCGACCGGCTGACGCTGTAGGAGGCCTGGCGTCTCATCCCGAGGCCCGGTTCTGGAGTGTCAGGGACAGGCCAGGTGGGGAGGCTGAATAGCTCTTCCAGCAGAGGATCTGGCACCTCGGCCACCTGAGGAGCACCTTGACCTTGCTGGGGCTTCTGAGGTGCCGGGCTCTGGCCGAGCGCCAACCAGCCCGCCCTCATTAGGGTCCTGCTGTTTCTGGAGCCAATTTTCGAAGTGGAGGCACCAGTAAGTCAGGTTAGCTCCAGGGTCAATGGTGGGACATTTCACCAGCTGCCAGCTCCCAGGGAGGCTCTGAGAACTTTCCAGAATGGGGGCTGCTTGGTGACTCTGCCCTTAGGGTGGCAGAGGAGGCAGGGGACCCAGAGAGGGTGGCGGTCCGGCCCCGGGACGGCAGCCAGTCACCGGCACTCCCCGGGGACACAAGGCAGAGACTCCGGGTCGGCACACTCAGGGCAAGAGCGCAGGCCGCAGCTGCCCGCCCTGAGGGCAAGGGTGAGCCGGTGGCAGCCAGCGGGACTGGGGACTCTGTGCTGTCCGCTGATTCCCGGTTACTACGAGCACTTCTGGGGCATGCGGTCCGTGCCGCCCCCTCCCCTCCACTGTCCAGTGTCCGAAGCCAGCCAAGGCCAAGTGTGCGGGCAGCAGTGAGCAAACGTCTTGGGCACAGTGCTCGACTCGCCCCGAAGCCGTTGGCAGCCTCCACGTGTCCCGGTGTGAACGCTGTGCTCTGCGATGAGCTGCTCCCCATGAGCCGCATGCTGCATGACTCATGCGCCATGGCACTGCTCCGAACCCCAGAACATGCTGACTCCACAGCGAGAGGCCCCGGGGCTCTGCTGGGTACCAGACCAGGCCGTAGATGCCAGTGGCAGAAGTGGGGGTGCCTGAGGGCCGGGGCAGCGTGACACTCCTGTGCCCATCACAAGTCAGATGCTGCTCCTGGACGCAGGCCCGTGGGGCTTCCCCGGGCCTCTCAGGTCTGGGCTCCATCACCTGGGACCCAAGGGGTAACAGGTCAGGACCCTGAGGGTTAGCAGGCTGCCCGCTGGAGAATCAGGCGGTCCCGCCAGAACCAGTGGCAGAGGTGCCTGTTGCTGCCTGACGAGTCTGGCAGGGCACAGCTCTGACTTCTAGAAAGCCTTTGCAGTTTCTAGCCGAGACTCAGCCCATGCACGTGGCTGCAGTGGTGGCCCTCAGCGCCAGAACCTGCGTGTCTTTCCAGCTGGACCCTAATTTCCTGGGCACCAGGGCTACGTTCTTCTCATCCCAACATCCTTGGCGCTTGGCAGTGTTTGATGCCAACGACGTGTCCAAGACGGGTTTGTGAACGAACGAGAGAAAGGCCGGCCTGACCTAGGAGTCTGGACAGACGCACATGACAGAATGGAGCTGGGCGGTTACGGGGACCGGGGTGACACTGTGAGACAGAGCTAAGAGTGGGTGTGAGAGCATGGAGCTGTGTTTATAGGTCCCCAATTAGCATTTGTTTTTCCGATTAGTTTAAAACCACCAAATTTCTACTAAGTTTAACTTCTACCACCCCCTGAAGTAGGGGAGGCGGGTAGGTTCTGTTGATGGAGAAGGGAAGGGACATGTGACAAACCTTCTAGTCACGACGATACGGGCAGTCAGAGGCAGGGAGCTCAGGGACACAGGGAACTTGGAAGTCACCTAAGTGCCACAGCATTTACGTGGCCGCTCCAAAGACATGGGTGTCGTGATCGAGGCTGGGACCAGAACCCTGTGTGCGGACGCCCAGCCCGGCACGGCTTCCACACTGCAGGTCGGGGCTGCCCGCACCCTGAGACCTGCCCACGCTCATCCTCACGGAACTTGCTGAAAACAAAATGTAACATATGACGCAGCAAGACCTCACTAGTGTGGGCGTCTCTGTCACTTATCCAACCTGAGCTTGTTTAGGAATAATTAGCGAAACGGGTATGGTTATTTTAGAAATAAACCTGCTAACATTTATACTTAATTTACATATCAGGCTGACGGCCCACAAGATTAATAGAACAAGTGAGGTTTTACTGCGTGTAAAACAAACAACCAACAAACAGCTGAAGGACATTTTTGGGTCGTTTCGAGATGCTTCTAGAAGCCTGTGCACTCAACTCCAAGGTCACAGGGGACACTCACCGCTGCCAGCACCCCCATCTCTCCTGCCGCGGGAACCTCCGCTGCCATCTCTGCCGGACTTTATGCGCTGCAACGAGGAGCAGACGAGTTTACTGAGCTTCTTGCAAAGCTGAGCACGACCGCGGCCGCTAAGTGAGTCCCCGCCGTCCACTCTCCTGTGAGGTGGAGGCCGGCCCGCCCCCCGGAGTCACCAGCCCTTGTTCCGACGCCAACGGCACCTAAGTTTTAAGAATGTGGTGATATCTCCAAGTTGTGACAGTCTTAGGTTGCCTTTCACATTCTATTGTTATTTTGTTTTGCATAAATGTTAGAATTTTCATATCAACACTGAAGCTGCCTCAAGCCTCTGCCAGATTCTCACACACAAAACGGTCCATTGAGAGCCATAACCCAGTCAGTCAGTGAAGAGAAACGACCGCTTTTCATAAATGTTTACTGTACGACTGAATTAAAACTTCTCAACATAGGTTGCTATCTTACTTAGATCTTTAGTAATGTAAATATAATCTCAGATTTAAATCAAAGGACAAATTATTCCCTCAACCATGACAACTTTCCAAATATTTATAAATTATCAGGTTGTGGGTCCAGTTATTGACATTGTGGTCTGCTTAGGAGAAAAAGTCTCCCCTCAGTGATTCAAGACTCATTTCTACAAAATGAGACACGCTCCAGGGACTTGGGACTCCCGGACAGGCACACACGTTCTAGTTTGCTCTACGGAAAAGAATCCAGTTTTCTCGAACCCCATCTCTCCCCTTGCTGTCACACACCAAGAAAACCTAAAAGCCATGAACAAAACAAGATCTCCAACACCTATCATCAGATTGTATTTCAAAATTTGGTTTTCATGTATGCATGGATCAATCTCCTAGAGCACAACTAAAACACAAAGCTAACTTAAGCTCACAAAGACAAACGCCCAGGAAATTCGACATTTTTCTACTCAGATGTGACAGATGTGGCCTCCTGCGTAAGTGACCTGAAGTTTAGGATAAAGCATGGTCGGAAGGCGAGCACTGTGACCCCCACGCTCTGCTGCTCACCGCCCCTTGCTCCCCAGAGCCCCGGTGTCCGACTCCCACCCAGCCTGCCCCCATCACCCCAAGGTCCCCGCTCTCCTCCCAGCCTGGGCCCCAGCACCAGGCACACCCACACCGGGGCGCCAGGCCCTGGCTGGGCGTCTGTCTTTTGAATTCACTCAGGAGAAACCTCAAACCTGGTGGTTCAGTGGCTTCCTTTTTCCTCTTGCTCCCCCAGGACACCGTGCCCTGCTGCAGCCGCGCCCCCAGCCCAGGCCTGGATCAGGGGCGCTCCCTTCACTGACCGCTGTCTGCCTGCTCAGTGCTCCCTCCCCACCTCCCTCACCTCCCTAGGAGACTCCCCTGGGCGGCCCAGATGGGCACGCGTCACCCATGCCACCGTCACAGCCAGGCTGTGCTGGCTTGTCACTCTCCTTCACCCCCCGCCCCCGGTGGGCACAGAAGTGTTTTGTCCCCTTCCCACTGAAAGGCCACGCGCCAGCCACAATGAGTCGTTAGCTGGGCGATGAGCTCACGGGGAGCTAAAGAAATGGCAATTTCAAAACTAAAACCAAAACAGGTGTGAGAACAGCAGTCTGAGAAGGTTCTGAGTTCAGACACATGGGGAGTCGAGACACCCCCACCCCCGCCGACCCGCATCACCGAGGTTTCCCCCACGGAAGATGCAGCGGCCACCCGAGGCCCTGGGCTCGCGTCTCAGGAAGACCAACGGCAGCGGACACGCGGCGAGGGACCGCGGGGCTGGGCCGGCTGCGTGAGGCCGCCTGCCCCGAAGCCTCTTCCTGCCTCCTACCGGCCTTCTTTGCCACCAACTTCTGCACTTTACGTCTGTAAACGAAACATGTTCGTAAGCAAAGCCTGAGCGAGAGAGCACCAGGAAAACGCTTCTTCGACGTAGACGGAACGATGGCACTGAAGCGTGACAGAGAAGTCGCTCTCATGGGGACTGAAAAGGCAGGTTTTGTGGACGAGGACGGCTTTAAGGGCTGAGGCGTGAGGACGTGAGAAGGGAGGCAGGGGGAGGCGACGGTGAAGACCGTGAACGGCCTTGCGCTCCACACAGACCGCGGCGAGCGTGGCGAGGACACACCACGCGAAGGGGCAGCCACCGCTCAGGCGCGGGGGTCCTGCTCAATCCAAACGCGCCGACGGCGACCCGCGCGCTTACTCAGGCGTCCTGCCCAAGCTCTACTAGGATCACTGAGCGAGTGCCGCATGAGGGCTGGAGGCCAGTATAGAGAGAAGCAGACCAGTCGATGGCATCTAATGCGCATGTTGTTCTGACAGCTGAGAAGTAATCAGCATGAAAAGCAGTTTCAATGACACCCACACATTCGTTTACAGTAGTGGAATTTGTTCGTCCACGCGAACATTAGTCCTCAGCCGTTGGTCAGATGAAAAAAAGAGTTTGCCATCACAGAGAGCAGTGGAGGTGGGGGGAAGGGCAGGACCCGATGTCAGGCCGAGGCTTGTGACATCCAGAGAGGACAGGATGGCGGTGGGCCAGCCAGGACAGTGGCGTGCAAGGCACGCTGAATCTCCGTTAAGGGGGTACCCTGGCTTCTCTCACTCGGGTTGACGTCCCAGGAATTGCTGGGGAGCCTGGGTCCAGGTCCCCGTGAACTGACTGCGAGGAAGCCCCGGGGAGCGGAGGGTGCGCCTCACTGCCTGGGCGGTCAGCGCGGCTGCCCGTCTGCAGCCCAGAGACGGCGGCGCGCACCCCGCTTCTGCTGTGGGGAATGCGCTACCCGCACGCTGTTCAGTGAACTTCAACTACCGATGCCTAAACTTATGAAGTCCTAAGAATTTCATGCTTTCCACAAGAATCTATGATTCTATACGAGGTAACTTTATACAACGACTTTTGAGTCCAAAGACTGATAGACTTTGTGATTCTTCTTAATGAAACAAATTCAATAGCGATTATGATAACTATGGTAATTTGACCTTTCATCTCAACCAGGTTACATTTTATGAAGCTTTCACACAGGTTAGATAATTTAATTAGCAATTGGTACATGGTATTAAATTGGTCTTCACAGCAAGTTTTAACTATGTACCCTAGCATGGCATTTCAATACCGCTTTAATATTTTATGGAATTATAAGGTAAAAAAATCTATGTCATACTCATTATTCTTTTACAGCTAATATGTTAGACAATAAAAAATTAGATCACATCTTCAAATGAAAAACAAGATAACCACATTTTGAAAGCAAATATGGAATTTAGATTTAATCACCCAAGATAATTAAATTCCTGAAAAAGTCTAAGCTAAAAGAATATATTTTCTATGAAAGGCAGACACTCAAACATCATGCTAAACTTGTAAATTGTCTGGGCTCAAACGCGGGAGGAAGCCGAATCATTTGCCTGTGAGTACCATCCAGGCAAACGATTACAGACTACACTGAACCCACCACACTTGCCCCCACGGGAAACTCGCTGCTGACAGAATTTTGTCCTAAAACTAGGATTTTAGTTAGTCCTTTTCCTTTCATGCTAGAGCAGGAAAACATTCAACGTCACTTGTCTGGCAGAAGCCCAGACGCCACTCAGCTGAGCTACAGGAGGCTGATGTTTTGAAAATTGACAGACAGTAGCTTTCGGCCCATGTGAGATACCTGTTCCCTTATCTCCTTCATTTTTTCCAATCTCTTGAGTTTTGTTGCATATTCTTGAACTTCCTTCAATCCAATATCAGTGCAGAGACGAACCAAGAAGCGCAGACCTAAATGTGAAAAACACATCAGAACAGTGTTTGTGCACAGCGCCCAACGTACGACAAATCAACGACCTTGGTCCCTCGGGACACAAATAGGGACGATGCTCACAATGGTGTCTGTTCTCTCTTGAAAAATACCTGCAGCTTGTACCCGTCCTGGGAGGACAGCTCCCCTGAGAGGGGTTCCCAGGGGCAGCGTCACCGCCCGGCCCGCAGGCAACACCCCACAACCTGTGGCCGGGGGCCCCCCAGGATCTTCCCCTCTGACGCGGGCTGTTTGTGTGTTGTGGGTCGAATGAGGATTTTCACGTTTCGTTTTCCGCTGCAGCCACAGTGCTGACACAGCGCCGTGTACCAACACAGCGGTCGCTGCACAGGAATTTGTCAGGAAATGACCCGTTCATGACCACTGATGTACTGCAAGGTAACAGTACTGAAGTAACTTAAAATGTCACACATTGGCATATAAATTGCCTATGTATAATCAATCATTCACAACAATACACAGTTAACCATTTCTCTCATTTCCCCATCTTTAGAAAGAGTAGTTCAGGAACATTTCACGTAAAATAAAAATCACTGTTTTTGCTAGAAGGCTTCTGAAACAAGTCAATTTTTGATAAATGAAGAATACATTTTAAGACTAAGTTATCCTGTCGGGCTCACCAGAAAACTACTCTGCCCAAAACAGGACATTCCACGGGCGCAAATACTTCCCTAAGACTGCAGGTGAGGTGGGCTGCCAATGACTTTGTTTGGAACTCATCCAGGCCAGTCGTCTTGGACATTCCCGGCGGCACAAGTAGATGCCCGTTCCATCTGCAGAGCGAAACTAACCTCTCTGTGAAGAAGGAAATCTGGCCTTGCTTGGCGACAGTCCCTCTGGCTACTGCAGTGTTCACGACAGGACAGGCCGTGATCCAGCCCCCGGGATGTCCGGCAACGCCTGGGGATGGTTCTGGTTCTCATGGTGAGGGCGAGGGGGCCGGGGAATGCTGCTGCCCTCCAGTGGGAAGGGGCCCGACTTGGCTAAAACGTCCCACAATGCCCAGGACGGCCCCCCTGAGCCCAGAGCCATCCAGCCTGAGGTTGGCTGATTTCTGGGTTGCTCAATTTTCACAAAAAGATGTCATTGCTATCTCTTTTTTAATCTCTAAAGCACCAGTGCCCTAATGTGACCCAGATTAAGAATCAGATAAAAAGCTTTTAAAAAAGAAATAGGAAAAATTAGATATCTGGGCCCACTGTGAACCTCAGCGGGAACCTCTGCAGGCAGGGCCAGGCATCTGCATTTTATGAGGTTTGATGGGTCCCCAAGGAGCCTGCTTCCCGAGTGGCCAGTGCCGTTTGGCCAGAGCTCTGAGCCCTCTGCTGCTGAGAGAGCGTGGAAGAAACCAGGGCCAGAAGTCCTAACGAAGGAGCATGCTGCACCTCCAGCCCGGGCGCCGGGCCACCGGGGGACCTGGCTCAGGAAAAGCAATGTTCTGTTTTGTGAACATTGACACTGAAGGACAAAATTAAAAGGAGTCTTTTCAAACACGTTACTTTATTTGCTGTAGGGATGTTTTAAAGCAAGTAGCTGCGACTCTTTCAGTGACCTTCTCTACCATCTCTGTGTTTCAACAAGGATGAATTAAAAGTTGAAAAAATGTTTCTTCTTCCCAAGGACTGCTTTTCATTTCCTCATGAATAGTAAAGGTTACACAACAAACCGTATTTTGTCACTTTCCTTTAGCTGCAAGGCTATTCAGGGCCAAACAGAGTTCGGTGGGCTTAGGGGGCACGTGACCGGCTGTAACACCCCCATTACTACTTCACATTGCCTCCAATCCACTGCACAAGACGGGGAATAGAGAGCCCTGTTTACTACTGAAAGGAATTCAGTGGCGTATTTAAATTCATCAACAAGTAAATTCCAAAAACGTGTACTTGTATACTCAAGATTCTCTGATCCTATAAACTCATATTTAAACACATATACCACAAATTATAGGTTGGAGTCTATGTACACAATCACTGTAACAAATGTGACTATTACACATTAGGACATAAAATGTGAGAACTTATACTCTCAAAGTACAAAATGTAATCTCACTTACATTCGGCATTTTCTGGAAATTTTCTGTGAATGTCTTTATAAGTATCTAATGCTTTTTGGTAGTTACCTACAAATAAAAAAGAGGAAACCACACTAGTATCAGTAGGATTCAACAAAGCATTAATTTTAATCCCATACACTGTCATCATTTTATTGATTTGGCAGGAAGACATTTGTGTTTGCCGCAAGCATACATAACAGTTCTCTGTATAATTTCTGGAAGAGAATGTAAAGATAAAACAAATTTGAAAAGGATTAGAGCAGAATAGGTAATCGTTAAAACTTAGCTCCACTTCTTAAATATGTTAGTGGAAAAAAAATTAAGATCCACTCAATTTCCTAAAAATTAAGATTATTTGGGTGAACGACTGACGAATTTAAAATAATTTAAGTGATAGTCAATGATAATTTCAATGTCATTCACCTAGAAAAGTTGAAAAATGACTTTTACAGTTTTCATTTTGAAAGATTAAAATGTTTATAGAAAATACTTTGTTTTGTAAAGAATTCGGGGTCAGTGGCCCTTGGTAAAAGCCCGCCCGCAGCCAGGCGCCTCTGGGCTCCCATGAGGGCGGCTGGGAGGGGAGGGAACAGCAGGGGAAGCGCCTGGCTGCCCCAGGTTCAGTGCTGACTCGGCTTCCCTACTCCCCCACCGACCTCCAAGGACTCTAAAAGGCTCATCTCAAAACTACACGGACCCCTCGCACGCGCGCACTTCACGTGTGACTGACTGGCGCTGACATGGGCAGGGGCGGTGCGGAACTCAGGTGAGGGGATGGAGCGTGCACAGCAGAGCTGCGTGGTGTGTCACCCGACAGGACGCCAGTCACACTGAAGACGCCCCCCTCCCATGATCGGAAAGGTTGGGACAGTACACACATGAGCGCCCGTGCAGTTGCTTCCTGGGACTGAGACTTGCTTTTCCGGGACTGTCTGACACTCTACAAGGAGTGACGTGTTTACCTGCCAGCATTTACCTCCCCACTGGGTCTCTGACACCCTGATACCTTCACTTCCCCTAGCTCAAAGCCACTAATGTAGCTGCCCTGCAGGATGGACATCATGACTGCAGCTGCTGGAAACACAAACAAGGTATAAAGACACAGCCCCAGGTGTCCCAGCCCTGGTCCCCCCTCAGGCTCTGCATTTGGAGACAGTTTCACTGATGGGGCAGAGCACACGAGGACATGTAGAATGAGGTGACAGAGATTGGAAAAATAAACTGATGTGTACAGAATGCCTACTTTTCTGTGGCTGACCTGTTTACTGAATGATTACATGTAAACTCTGAGAAATAATAAATCCATTTCTAACAGTGGTGTTAGAATACATGACTAAGATCCACTTTTTAAGCATAAGGTTTTTCTGTCTGTAGTAATTACTATTTTTCACGTAATGATTCAAATATGTATTGTTATCAAAAGTTAATGTTTTAAAAAACAAATACGCAATTGGAACACAATTATGCATAATTACCTAAAAGACAGAAAGAAGCAAATGTATGAGAAATGAATAAAATGAAAGCGTTTACCACTTCTCCTAAAACAGCTAGCCACCATCAGCTGCCACTTCACTTGCGTGGGCCTACAAAAGAAATAAACGACGTGAATTAGAGATGAAAAACGCCGACCTGCGACAGTCGTTTCATAGTTATAGATCTTCCTATCTTTCAATTACTTTTTTGCCTTTGATTAGATCATCTTTGTTACTGAAAATGGCATATATACAACTTCCACTATTACCACCTGTCATATTTATATTAAGAGATTTAAGAATCCTTCAATCTAGTTCGTGCCTTTATTTATATATTTTTATGAAAATCACTTAAGCTGTGTGCTTAAAGACCACCGCACTCTGTTTTAAACATCACCATGACCTTTGCCACAATCGTATCAGACTCGGTACCCAACAGTGCCTTCCCGAGATTACACTTAGGCTCAGCATCTAAGGCTTGACAATTCAGCACCCAATTTTTGATCTTATATTGGAACAGTTAGGCTTCAACTAAAGAAAGAGTAAAAAAGAATCCTATTCATCCCTTTCTCTCCTTAAAATATAAATTTATTTTCTAAAATAAATAACCATAAACCAGGATTTCTAAATACCACTATTAAAAATATCTAAGAAAAATAATATTTGAAGAAATAAAATAGTAGGGAGTAATTTAATGTTCCTCTTACTTCTTTTTAGAATCTGCCTTCTATTTACTCGATGGCCTCAGAGACAGACGAGTCCTGGTTCTTACTTGAGCTGGTGCCAGACCCACCAGCTGTGGGCTCAGGGAGCTCTGAGTTTAAACCACAGCCCTGCCGGCTGGGCAAGTCCCCCAACCTCAGACCCAACAGCTACACAGCCACCGCTTTGATCTACGTAAAACACACATCTAACCGTATTATTTTCCTCCCAAACCTCATCACCTCCCCTCCAACTGCACAATGATCCCAGATCCTAATCCGGTCCACCTCCAGCGTGTACCCGTGCGCCCTGCTCAGCAGTCCCTGCTACCACACACGCAGACAGGGCACAGTCCCCGCGGAGGCTGCTGCGCACCTCGCACCCGCCGTGAGCCTCGTCTCACCCGACCCCCGTCCCCCCAGCGCCGCCCGCTACTCTGGAGTATCTTAGGTCTCTGACACTGCACCGAACACAAGGTCCCCGGGGGCGGCGCAGACGCCGTACACCCAGGGCCTGGCAGGGCGCCTGGCCCAGCCTGGGTGGCCGTCACTCGAGCCCCCCTCCTTTGCATGTCAGAGTGTGCATCTCGATTGTCTCCTTCCAGGTCAGGGTTGTGAGTTTTCGTCCGGCAAAGCCCCTGGGAGCCCCAGAAATGCCCTGGCTGGGGCAGCAGGACTGGGAGGACATGGTGCCACGGAGGCAGGCAGGCAGGAAACCGGACCCAGCGGCAGCCTCACTGCAGAGGCCATTCAGGGAGGCTGTGGCTGGGGTCTCCGGCGGTGTGGGGCGTGGGGTGAGGCTGGAGGATGGAGAGAGGGGTCGCTTCTGGAAGGCTGCCCTCAGCCCCGGCCCTCCCAGGCACCGGGACAGCAGCCAGGCTGACACTCACCCCTGAGTGCACCCACTGGCCCAGAGAAAGGATGTTAGACTTTGCAGATGACATCTCAGTGACAAAACCACACCACGAACATGTTCCAGGGTGTTTGGTGGAAGGTGCGACTGGCATTTGGGGCGACACCATTCACGTGCAAGTCCTCTACACAGGAGCAAATGTTTGCCATCCTGGCGGCTGCCACCTGATGCCACGTGCATCCCTGTCATCACGACCATAAAATGCCCCACGCCTGTGTTCCCAAATGGTCCCCCGGGGGCAGCACCGCCTCGCGTTACTCATCATCTTGTTCCTTTAACCGCTAAATCTCCTAGTGTGAAGCGTAACACGTGGAAAAGGACACGAACAGCTCCGCAGCTCCACGCTTTCTCACAGAGGGAACGCCCAGGTAACCACAGTTCGCGAAACGGGACGTTGCCGGCCCCCCACGCCCCCTTCCAGTCCTCCCTCCGCCACCCCCGCTTCACCGCGAGCAGAAAATTATGATTAAAACAGACCCAACAAGAGTCTGCCACCCTAACCATCTTCAGGTGCGTGTTTCATGAGGCGCAGCCTCACATAGTCTGTCTCGGAATAGCCTCACCAGGCCGGACACAACCAGCACCCTCCATCGCCTCCGAAAGCCTCCGTTTCTATTCTACAGGTACAACAGACGTGACAGATGAAGACGGCATCGATATAAAGAAAGAGAAAGTGAGGATTAAGAGTGCCGTCCAGAGAGTGAGTGCTCGGAAGACGAGAGGTCACCAACGCACCTTCAGTGTCTCCGTGCCCCAGGGAGGAGGCGGCCAGCCGGGGGCCAGTGAAAGCCCGCTCACAGGGAAGCGGGGAAGGGGAAGCGTGGGGAGTTCCCAGAAGCTTCCGTCAGCTTTCTGGGGACTGAGCATAAAGCAGGAACGCCAGGGGAGTTGCTCGTAGAGCGTTGGACTGAGGGCGGCGTTCACAGGACAGACAGCTGTGGCCTCGGTCACATGCTCATACCATCCATGTCTCATGGCGCTTCCCGGGGTGTGTGCAGGAGTGGGGCGAGGGGCTGGGTTACCCAGGAAAGCTGGCGGGGGGAGGAGCAGAATGGGGGCAGCAAAGCAAGAGGGAAAAAAGCCCCGAGGGTGCCGGTGAGGAGAGCAGGGCTGTGGCCCACAGAACAGCTGCAGAGGGCGAGCGGCCAAAGCCGGGAGGAAGCCCCAGGGAAAGGAGGTCCGAGGCTGCGGCCCATTCAGACGGCAGGACGTCCCGCGGGAGATGTCACTGCAGGGGCAATCAGGACCAGGTCCAGGTGGCCAAGCTGCAGAGCAGGTAAAGGTCAGTGAAGGTGGGCCGGCCGGGGCCTGTGAGGCTGGACTGAGGTGGGAGAGGGCAGGAACTAGACAAGGTCAACGCGTGACCTCACAAGCAGGAGTCGAGTTGGGAACGAAGGCGGAGGGCGCCTCACAGGAGGAAGGGTCTCACCTGAGCTGACGCTAGGGCTGGCACCGCTCCAAGTGCGAGGCGAGTGCCGCCGTGTGCTACCCCCGCAGCTTCGGTCTCACGCGTGCGGGAAACTGAAACAGTGTGCTCACTCTCAAAGTGCTTATGTGAAGCCAGTGTCACAAAAATCGCCTACTACAAATTCCACAGATCATTCAAGTTATTGGGCTTCCTTTACATTCGAACGGCTCAAAGTCACAGTTAACGTTAAAATTAAATTTGGCCAAATACAAAGCAGAATGATATATTCCAATTATTTTTGAATTACACACGTATGAAACATACTGATATGTATTAAAGACCCCTTTAACAGTTTAATTTTTAATATACAATATATATCAATTATAAATTGAAACTTATTTCAGAAACGAAACTTTGTCCAGGACTGAGACAGTCATTTTCTGATTGATAAAGAAATAATATTTATTCGCTGAGATGTGAATTAAATACATAAGGAAAAATTCCTTAAAGCAGGTATTTTTAAAACTTTTACATAAAAAGTATGTCACAATAATGACCAAGTAAAATGAAAGATAACATAAGAAAATAGAAATAATGACTAAATGGTCATTAATATTTGCTCGCAAACTTAATGTGTCTATCCAATTCTAATTATCTACATTAAAATCAAATCCTAACAGAAGACGTTTCATTAAACAAAAAGTCACAACCGTTACTTACTGTATAAGAGAAGCTCTTTCAAAGTACTGAATGGCTTTCTCACAAAACTGGGTGTCAATGTAATAGGCTCCAAGCCACTCGATGACTCCGATGTTGGAAGGGAAATACCTGTACGACTGGAAACACAGGACATGGCAGCACAATGTCACGGCAAGGTACAACTTACTTCCTGAACGCTTCGCCTACTGAATGGATTAATTTATCCAATGTGAAATTTCTTAATAAAAAAGTATGAGCTGTCACAAGCACTTTACAAGATTTTTAAACTATACAAGATTCAGAAAGCTTAATATCTGACACATTTTTCAACTCCTGTAAATATCTTTTTGATGTACAGATACATAACTGAGTCAAATTAAATATGCAATAGCATAAAAAAGGATGCAAATCATGCTTCAAGAGAAAAATGAATCTGTACTTTTTAATTTTTAAAAACTAATCAATTTACTTTATATTCCACAGATGCTTTATTTTAAGTCATTATTAATTTAAAAGCTAATGAGCATTTCTAAACCTTATCAATGAAGAGGCCTGCGCCCTTTCCACAGCACCCGAGGCCACATGCAGAGGGAAGCCAGGGCACGCCCACCTCATAGTAGTGCTGGAAGGCCTGGGACTTGTCGCCCTCCCCGTCATACAGCTCGCCCAGCTTGCACAGAGCTCTGGAGTCGGTGGGGACAACGCTGATCAGCTGCATTAGCCACTCGGTAGCCTGGTTGGGATCCTCCATTAACTCATATCTTGGACAATGTCAGTTAAGGACAACACGGGTTTTCTGAGCTCCTTACCCCACGTAACATGCTATCCCACACGACACACTGCGGGTTTCCTCGGGGGTGACGATGAGTGCCGTGAGTGACACTCGTCTGTCCCGAACGTATGCCGGGCTTTTCTTTTACTTCCTTACCACCTAAGGTCAACTCTCAGATGCCTGGCAGAATTAGCCGTTTGCCATTTTGTTCAAAGCACTGTCCAAAATTTGTCCTTAATAAAAATGCCCGAACATTGTATTCAATTATCCCACCTCTCTTAACACGCTCAACACGTTTGGGGAATACTTCCACACATTTTCCTAGGAGTTCCCCTAATTAGTTTGTGAACCCCACACAGGAGTTCTTCATCCATAGCTGGTGTGGCTAGCAGGTCCTCGCACACACTCAGAGAACTGTTCACACCCGTACTTACTATGCATTTTTATAGATGTCTCACTGAAATAAAAACATCCCAATCCAAAGTTTTACTGAAAAAGTCTTCTGTTCTTAACGACGAAAAATGTGATGTCATAAGAAAAGTGAAAAAATAAGGAAATATACCAAACACCCTCAACTATAACAATTACTCGACTGGATCCACGCTGATCACAAACTGAGCACTGCCAGGCCGTGATACCGGCAGCTTCAGAGAAGTTACATGGGCAGGACGAAGGACTGCAAGGGATGGCTACGAAGCCATCTGCTCCAAAACTCAACGTTTTTATAGAAAACTTTTATCTACCCGCAGATAGTACTTAAAAATAGCGGCACACCTCATAATACCCTTTTGTCTAAACACATTTACATAAAATTTTTACTAAGATAATAACTTAAAACCTACATAATTTTATCCTTCCCAGTACTATCAAAGATTATTTTAAAATAAGGAGGGAAATTAAAGTGTTTTTCAAATACTGTCAAAGTATTAAAACCATTCACAGCTTCTGCTCTTCCAACCAAGGGCAGAGGAAAACACACAAACGAAAGGAAGCTAAGACTTGCAGAAGAAACTGACGTGAGAACAATGTTTTATGTTTCAGCGGTCCCCAGAGTCCTAGACAAAAGATGGTCCACGAGTGACGACCGAGGGGACAGAAGGCATGGGCGAGCGCACGTAAACTACCACTCGACCCCAGACGTGAGGGGAGTTACACTCTGAGCCGCGACGGCAGCTACGATAAATCAGATCAGCTACCCACACTCGGTCAGTAGTGCTAACCAGTAATGAGCAATATTTCCCTCTTGATTAGCAATCACTTCAAAAATACTCTGCCACACTCAGTTAATACACTCTAAAGCATCTAATTTACGTTCAATGAATAGCTGATGTGTAGTCAACACGTCATACTCAATTACTTCACTAATTATTTCCAAAAAGTAATAAATAGTTTTAGCCTTTAAATAATTCCTCTTACAATGTGAATGATCTCTGAAAACAGGATCACGCTAATGTTTTCATCACATATTAACTGGCCTGATAGGTAGGTTTTCCAACATTAGCCTCGTCCACTACCTCGCGGGTTAAGCTTGTCTAGTGACTGTCCTGAATCACCAGCTGAGTGAGCGACGCCGGCCCCACGCCCCGAAAGGTACATGCTGGCGATCTGGTGCAGGACCTGTGCACTGTTCCTCAGGATCGCGTGCAGCTTCAGGAAACAGTCCAAAGCCTCGTCGAGCCGGTTGAGCTTCTTATAGGTGAGGCCTGAGAAAGAAGAAAAGGGAAAAAAAGGCATAAGCAATTTTCACAAGGTAACAGAATGATCCTTTAAATACACATATATTCATCCGGAAGACAAAACAAAGATGAACGGAATTTCTTAAAAGAAGAGCAAGGTGGGGCAGGAATGTTCCAGTAACATTTGGCAGACGCCGAAACGTTCTGTAAACATAAAGCTTTTGTGATCTTTGAGTGTGGTGGGGGAGAGAGATAGACGGATTAATACAACAGAATAAACACTTCAGAGATTGACTCAGTTATAGAATTTAGTTAACAGACATTTAAATTCAATGATGGACAGATCTTGAGATAATCATGCTAAGCAAAATAAGTCAGACAGATAACATTGAGAAACATATGACAGCACTCACATGTGGGGTGTAAAACTGAAAGCAACAAACAGGACAGATAAACGGAGACTCGTGGACCCGGACAGAGGATTAGTGGAGGGCAGAGGGCAGGGGGAGGGGTAGAGGGAGACGGGGGAGGGGGTCAAATATTTGGTGACTGAAGGACATCTAAGTCTGGGTGGTGAACACAGAATGCAATGTATATACGAGTTTCTGTTGAATGATACACTTGAAACTTATTTTGTTAATGTCACCCTAATAATTAAAAAAAATATATATTTTAAATAAAATCAATGAGGACTAAGGGACTAGTAGTAAATGTTGCCAGGACAATTGACCATGCATGAAAAAAACAATGTAGATTCCTATTTTTTATTTTTTCCTATTCTGAATAAATTAGAAATTTATTTTAAAACTAAATAGAAAAAACAAAGCTGTAAAACTGAAAAAATATAGGAAAACCATGAGGTGGGGAAGGGCTTTGTAAAGCAATAAACATATGAAGCCACAAATTTTCAAGAAGCCAAATTTGACTATATAAAAAATAGAAAAATTCTGTTTGACAAAAGAAATCATAGTTCAAAGTCAAGCAAAGGAGAAGGACGCGCACGTAAGACGTGTAGAGAGGGCCAGGCTGCACCCGGGCAGGCCACCTCCCACAGGAAGGCCCTCACTGTCCCCCCACCGCCCTGCCAGTCACACCCTTCTCCCGGACACTCAGATGGCCGTGCCGCTCTGCCTCCCGCTACGGCTGCAAACGGCACCTCCTCAGGGAGGCCCTCCGCGACGGCGCCCACAGTCACCGACCCCCCACCCCGCACCCCCTCCTCCCAGCCCAGCTAGGGCTTCCTTTGTCCAACTGCCAGGAGAGTGGTGGCTTCCCCGGGAGGAGCGGTCGCCTGCCTGATGGGCAGCTCTCCAAGTGGACAGACCAGATGGCCCTGTGCAGGGTGCCCGCCCTCAGCCTCACCGATGCCTCAGAGCTCCACTCAGTTGCATGCTCCTGAATGTGAGGACACAGCCAGTGTCCTCGGACAACAAGGGACAGTCATAACGTGAGAGAGAACAGAGCAAGCACAAGCGAAGTGCAGGAGGAGAGAACCGGCCTGAGACACCGCGCTGCATCGAGCTGTGTCTGCAACGCGGCCGCCGCACAGGCCATCTCAGGCGACCTGTGACAGGCAGGGAAGGGAGGGGGTCGTGAGCCTTCGGGTCTTGTGACATTTTGTCTTTCGAAAACAATCTGAAGCCAATATGACAAAATGTTAGAACATGTTAAACGTAGGTAGTAGGTACGTGGTATTTATTTTTTCTGTATAGATTTCTATGTTTGAAATTGTTCATGATTAAAGAGGAAGAAAACGAGACTTTTTCCCCACCTATCAGTTTGGCAAAAGGTGAACTGCCACGTCCAGCACCAGCGGGAGCCTGGAGAGTGGGCCGGCCAGTCTCTCACAGGTGGGGACAGACTGGAAGTGCCCCGGAGGCACTAGGGCGGCTCCCGCGCCCATCTGCCAGGCGCGCAGCTTCGGGACCATTAACGCCGTGAGACGTGAGCACAGTCCCAGAGTCTGCTCTGCAGCCTGTTGCAGGCCGCACTCCGGGACGCCAGCACCCCACTTACCAATGTTGTACAGGGCCTCGGTGCACGAGGAGTCGTTCCTCAGCGCCTCCCTGTAGAACTCCGCCGCCTTCTCGTAGTCGCCGTCCGCAAACACCGTGTTCCCTTTGTTCGTGAGAGCCGACGGGTTGTACCTGTCCGAGTTCACCGCCAGATCTGCGTAGCTGCTGGCCTGTGCAAAGTCGTTTTCCTAAGTAAAGTATGAAACACGGACTAATTATCTGAAGTTCATCAAATGTTTTTTCTGACTGTTCTCAGATGACAGACACGATAAACAGACTTTCTGAGATTACGGATGTGAAAAACAGAAAAAAACATCTTACATATCGTGGTCCTGATGGGTTTACTACAAGGTGTGTACCCATCAAGCGCTTTCGACTCCCCCGGTGTCTTACGGGTGACTTCTCCAGTCCCGCAGTTGGAGCGACCTAACGTTCACGTGCAGGGGTCCCACTCCGTGTCCCTACTCCCTGCACACCGCGCTCCACGCATCTCCAGCACTGACGTGGCGTGAGGCATCTGCCCGTCGCCGCAGTCACGCTGGCTGTGTCACCGCCCAGGGTATTGCACTTGTAGCGGTCGGTTGTCCCCGCTCCGTCCCGCTGCCAAGTGCTCGCTCAGGGCCTGGCCACCGTTCCGCGAACCGGGGCCTCTCAAGCCTCAGAGGTGTGGCCGTCCATGCCACGTCTCTTGGCTGCGCCAGGAGCCACATTCCCTACAGTCCCGACCCTGGGTGGCTCCTGTCCAGAGCTGGCCGGAGGGACCTTCTAGGACACATGGGATCAGACATGCGGCAGCGGCCTCCGTCTCCGCAGGTCTTTCCTGGCCAGCAGAAGGCCGAGTCCCCGCCTGAGCACTCACTCCCACTCCACACCAGCAAGCCCTCCCGACGGCGTGTCCTGCCCACCACAGCGAGCCAGACGGAGGAGGCCACTGCTCCGGGAAGCCCCGCCTCGAGGGGCAGCTGACCAGCTGCTTGCTGACAGGTGACCTTGCTTGGATCCCCAAACCCCCTGTGTACCTTCACCTCTCGGCTCCTCCACCACTGCGGATGGCCTAACCCTACACCCCCCTCCCGTAACGCTCGGTGACTGCTGATGACGGAACTTCTAAAACACTGACATGTGATTCACGTGTCGGAAAACTGACCCTTTAAAACTGACCCTTTAAAAACTGTTCGGTGGCATTTCATGTCTCCAGTTTCTCTTGGTGGGAAAAGCTTCTCAGAGTGAGAAATGGCTGCAGGGTAGGGGTCAAGTCGAGGGCGTGGCCGTGAGGTCTCACCCATCTCAGAAGGTCTGAGGTCATGCCCAGCAGAGCAGACCTTCTTTCTCAGGTCCGGAAAAGCTTCCAAGTGCCTTTGGGGCTCTGTCCACGGCAGCCCTGCACGTCGATCTATGTAGAAAGGGGTCTGCCTTGCAGAGAACTACGGATGTGGCTTTGGGGGCATGAAGGGCACCTCAGCAAGGTTGATGGAAAATGTGCTGAGTTTTTAGGGGAGCTGTACGAACAGAAGTGTTGCTAGCCTGGATCAGAAACACAGTCCAAAATGGGCCCCCTTTTTTTCTAGGCAGAAACAGGTGCAAACACAAGTTTGTTTTTTTTTTCTGTAAAAGGAAGTGCTCTCAGAAGGCAGAGCCAAGAGCCACAGAGACCAAAGGATTAGGGACCGCCCCCAGGGATCAGGGGTGGCCCCCATCAAGGAACCCCCTTTTCCTACACTTGGGGGCACTGACCACATGTGCTCAGCTGGGTCTCAGAACTGCTGAGGACCAGTGAGAGCTAGCTGCCTCCCCCCACTTCCCTCTAAGGGGGAGGATCTATCGCGACGACCCTAGCCTTATCTCAGCACAGGGGCGGGGTGCACGGGGCGGACAACCTGTGCTTTGGTCCTGGGTCTTCGGTCAAGTGGGCCCACGTCTGAGAAAGCCCGTCGCTGCCCAGACCTTATGGGAGTGCTGGCCTCTGACCCTACTGACGAGCCTATGGGAGGCTCGGGAGGGCCACGAACATTCTGCATGTGGCGAGGATGTGGGTAACCTGAGCCCGAACACAGGCAGTGACCGGCATTTAGACAATGGCCCAGTGGACCACACCCCCGTCTTCACACCCATGGACAGTTCTCTTATGTTCGTTTGCCCAACAAATAACAAGTTAAATGCGCACAGGAGCCCGAGAGGTGGCCACACACAGGGCCTCCTTGCCTGGCGGGGCCCCTGTCCTGGGGGAGGCCCGCCGACAGCTCCACTGAGTGCCAGACACGAGGGCAGCATCTGGGCCACACAGCCTCGGCCAAGCCACAGGTGACAGCAGCAGTCGGGGCGCCGCGGGTCAGGCCTGCAGAAGGACCATGCAGGCGAGCGGCCCTCGGGGAGGACACAGCCAGCACAGTGATGGGGGACTCACTGCAGAGCGAAGGGAAGCTGACCTGCGGGGGCTGTACAGCGCCCGCCTCCGCCTGGGCATCGGGTCACTGCCTCAACGCCACCCCACCCCGGAAAGCACTGGCGAGACGCCTGGTGGGTGGTTCTGCTCCAGCGGACTACGCCCGACCACTCTCCCTCCCCAGAGGCGTTCCTGGTCTCCTCCCGCGCACGCGTCAAACTTGGTAAAGGTCTGGCTGCTGAATCACTTCCACAAAATTCACTAACGACCTTCTCCATTCGAACGCAGTGGCTGCCGTGGAGACTGCCTCACCCCATCTTTCAGAGCCGCTGGGCGTGCTGCTGGCCACCAGCCCCTGCTGTCAGCCTTCTCTGTGAATGACCCTGGGGTGAGGGGCTAAAAAGAGGCGGCACCTTGCCCAAAGTCCCCCTCCCGGGAGAGCAGGCCACCTCCAACGACGGCTGTGCCGGGCACAAAGACCTAGCCCCTCGCCCCAGGGGGTGCGCTGAGCTGCCAGCCCAGGTCCCGCATCCTCCAGCGCTAAGAAGCCTTGTGGTGATGGCACCTAGCTCCCAGCGTCTCCCTTCTCCTGGGCCACCTCGGGTCTCAGCAGCACACACCCCCTTCGCTCAGGGACATCGTGCTGAAGCTCCTCTCCCGTCTCCCTGGCCTGACCCTTACTCTTGCCTCCTTCCTGTTTGCGTGGCCAATGTTCCCATTGCTGTGCTGTGACCTCACCTCGGAGATACCTACGGCCTTGGTGTTCAGTGCGGGCAGCTGAAACCAAATACCAGACCAAGGTGCCAGCACACGTGACGTCTGGGGAGGCTGCTTCCTGGTTCGCCCACCACCTCCTCCTCCTCCCTTCCCTCCCTCCTCCTCCCTTCCCTCCTCCCTCCTAGTCCACCCGCCCGCCTCCTCTGCTCCAAATGAAGAAAGTTCTCTTTTAGGGAGCTTCCAGCCTTCTGGTACACCCCATGATCAGCACCCACACATGTTCAACCTAAGCCTGTTACAGACGACACCGTGACCTCACGCAAGTCATGTCTCCTATGATGTCACTTTATTACTTGTGGAGCTGCGATGCATCTCTAGCTCGTCTCCCGGTTCTACCCTCTGCGATTCTGTGATGGGATGCTTCCCACCACCATGCCCCGGTCCTCTCCTTCTGAGATAGTCCTCTCACTCTCACAAACTCGCCCTGTGGCCCCGAACTTGTCATGCCTGGACCCACACGCACGCCCTCCTGCTGATGATCCGCAACAGTCCCCTGCGGAGCCACTCCTCAGGCAGGAATTTAGCAACGTAAAAATACCACATAGGCAACTGTTAGTTGTAAAAAAAAAAAAACAAAACTTACCAAGTAATACAGGAACGAGAGGTTGGTCGCAGCTGCGCTTTTCACTCTAGTGTCCTTTTTCTCAAACATTTTTAAGGTCTCGACAGCCTAGAAATGAAGTAAGTGTGTGACAGTTGACACTGCCGCGGGGACACGACAGTGCTCAGGGCAAGCTCAGGGCCCGGGGGTAAGGCCAGCCCAGGGCACGGACAGGTGGATTAATGTTAAGAAAACAGATGATGAGAACTTCATTTGAGAATTAATAAATCTTTAAAAAGGATAAAATGACACTAAAAATACAATAAGTGAAGTGAAGAGCAGACGGGCTGCAGGGCGGGTGGGAGGCCACTGGCGGGAGGAGTGAGTGTGGGGCCTGTGGGGCCTGCAGGGCTCGGGGCAGCTTTGCGTTCACCTTGCAGAACGGGCGGGGCCCTGAGCTTTTACCTAAAAGACATGATCTGCTTTGCTCTTTACAAAATAATTCTAGAATTTCCGCTTCTGGCTCTCAGACTGGCCTATAGAAGGCCATTCTCCCACCGAGAACAATGAGAAAAGGCAGACGAAACACGAAGGATATTTTCTGAAGGTACTGGAGAGCCACCAAGGCAACCAGGGTTTGAAGGTCAAGGACCCAGAGCGAAGGCGGGCCGAAGAACAGAGAGACAGATGGGAGCATAGGCCGGGGGTCTCGTAAACACACTGGCGTCCCAGAGCGAGGAAGGGCCAGGGGCTGGGAATTTTCCAGAAGTGATGACGAAGAATAATTGCGGGAGAATTACAAAAACGATCTGAAGTAGATCCAAACCCAGTCGCATTTTCAAGCCGTGAGAAACCAAAGACGTTTCTCACCACTGGAGGGCTGGACGATCCCCAGCACACAGGCTGTCCCCCGGGACGGTCAGAGGCCTGTGCGAAGGATGCGTGCGGGCTCAGGCTGGGAGTCACTGGCAAGAAAGGAGCAGAGCAGGACGCCAGGCCCCTTCCTCCCTGCCTACCTTTACGATACAGGTAAAGGTGCTCAGCCTTGGGGTGCCCACTGCTCCCAGATAGCACGTGTCCAAGCGACAACCAGGCTCCAGCTCTGACAGTGGCCATCGGCCACTCCCAGAAACACTGACAAGAGCTGAACTGACCGTGCACCATGCATGTGTCTGACCTCAGAGGAAGCGCATTAAACACACGGGCTCAATTTCTTTTAAGGGAAGACTTTAAAGTGCTAGATTCCACAAACTTTGGTTACGATATGAGTTATAATCACTCTGTCGCAGAGTTCGACTAAAGACAACTGTTGGGAGTGTCTGGGCCGGCAGTTTATAATCCACGAAGTAGACTCTGGCAGGGGAGAACCCCAACATCACATCTCGCTTTTGAGAGTCTGTTCCTCACTTGCATTCTCGAGAGGGTGCTCTATAGAGCGGCTGAGGTGACAGCTCTTCTCCCGCTCACCCTGTGGCTCCCACTCCCGCTTGGAAAAGTTGGTTTCACTTTGAGTGAGGAGTGGGTTGCCTAGGCCTTTACTCTTGGATGGTGTCACACATGTAGGTGCTAACGCAGCACGGTCCATTAGCCCCTCTGAAGTGAAGTGAGGGAAACAGAGCTGCTCTGTGTTCTGGCTGGCCGCCCAGAGAGCTAACAAACAAGAATGGTATTTTAAAAAGCTGAAGGCTACAACGATCTATAGAAGTCCTTTTAGAAACAGCTATTCACGCTAGAGTGAAAGAATGTGTTGGAATTTAAAATTCTGATATTTGCTAATTTGTGGCTTATTAGTAACAGTATGTTAAGACTACATTTAAGACCGAATTATTCTCCCCAAAATGGTCACTATAAATTCAAACAATACATAAAAGCAATGCAATCCAAAGGTATTACCTAAAAGAAATACCCAAAGTATTCTGAACTTAAAATATCCATTTAAAAACATCTGACTAAATAAAAACATATTTGTAATTTATTTTCCAAACTATAAACTATTCTAAAAAGGCTACATAACTATTCTAATAATAGGAACATTCTCAGGTATTTCTGGCTTTGAAACAGGTTGTTTTTATAACTGTTCTTTGCAAGTTCAATGAATGCATCTGTAATATTTGTTTGATTTATAACTAAAACTGATAAAAGTCCACTTAATAAAATTAAATTTAGTTGTAAATGGCAAAACAAATAATCAAAATAAACATTGTTGGCCTGGGTTGTTGCTGTTTTCAAAAACAGGAAAATGCATATGTATTTGTTTTGTTTTTCTTTCCTCTCTGATGCCATCTAGCTGCTGCCTCGGGTGCCACTGAGTCTGCCTCCAACTTGTCACTGGCCTTCCGTGCTCTACTCTGCGTGCTCCACTCCGCCCGCCTCGGCTTTTAGGGGACTTCTTTCTCTAGTGTGAGGGCAATTGCACGACCGCCCGGTCATCGCACAGAATCCTGCTCTGAGATTTAGCATCTTTTCTCAAAAAAGTATCAAGAGTTACCTTCAGAATCATGTCCTTATGCAAGAAGACACACATTTTCTCTTTTACTTTGAATTGTAAATAGTCTTCATCAAATGATCATTGTGAATTACATCAGCCAGCCCTTTTTAACCTAATCATGTTCCTTTCACACTAAGATTGTGCTACACCCACCTCATCACACTTACAATATACAAACAAAAGAAACAACGCAAAAGCAACAATGTTAAAATGAAAGTGGAAACTACATTTTAAAACTTAAGTAAACTAATTGTCATTAAACTTGAAAATGCAAGTCGAAGGAGAGACCATTTGAATGATGATAGCTAGGAAAGCGGCCAGCAATAAAATCTGGGTTAAAAAGTGAGTTTTAATATGAGAGAATTAGAGTTTCTTCCTTAATGGACACAGTTTTAAAACATGAACTATGGTGATACATTGTTGCATCTCCCTAAAAAGACCGATTAAAAATAAAGTCTCAGGAGAGACCTGGCCAACGTGCCTTCCCCGCCTTCCGCCTGCAACGGCGCTTCTCGCACATGAACACGAGCGACTGTCCACAGATGACCAATGCGGGGTACCGAGGACCAAGCTGTCTCACGTCGCCCCCACTGGAAAAACATGACAGCGGCACCAGAGAGCTACCCGGCGGCACTTTTCACGACAAAGGATGTGATGACCGAATGACAGAATAGACCTCATGGTCCTCTGAAAAGCCTTTTCGGAGCTTCACAGGTGCTAGAACGACTCTGAGCGCACTAACCCGTGCACACGTTGGAACCAGCCCCTGGAGTGCACCGCATCTGCCATGTGACCGTGACACCAACGCTGGGCAGCCCTGCTGAGCCCGGGCCATCTCCCGCCTCCTCTAGGAGGGTGCCCGTCATCTCTACAGTCTCAGAGATGAGTGGAAGGCCCTTCGGCAGGGCGAAAGGCGGGAAATGCAGGCTGGGGCAGGGCGCGGGCAAGGGATCATGGCTTTCCCTGGCCCTTGCTCTCGGTCTCTACTCAGAGTTGCTGAGGCTTCTAGCTGCCGGCACATCTGACACTAACTGCTGGTATGACAAACAAGATATCAAGTTTCATCCTGTTCATTCTCTTTTGTCTACCCCCATCCCCTTACAGAGCTGCCTATTCTTTTGCTGTTATCATGACTGTGTCTCACCTGGTCCACCTCCACCCAAGGTAGCAGCGAGACATCTAGAGGGCTCTGAAACTGTGACTGGTCTTCAATGGACCTTCAATAAGCAAACCAAGTGGGTAAAAGAGGCAAGAGGAAAGCCGCCCTGGGGAAAACGGTGGGTGGGAGCGGAGGCTGCCGAGTGGCTCCTGGCCTTCCTTCTGCACACAGTACCCGACTCTGAAAACTCTTAGAGCTTCGGAGAATAGCCTGGAAACGTCCAGGAGGAAGCTGACCTCTGCACAAAATTTAGCAACTAACCAGGATTAACATGGAAAGCATTTACATTTTTAAAGAAACAGGACGAACAAGTCAAAATTCAAAGTAATACTATAGTAATGGAAATTATGTAAAGGTAGAAATTACTCAATTTCAGAATAATCGGAGATAACATTATTCTAGAGAAGAGTTTCACAAACGTTATTGCTTTGACCAATTAACATATAAAATTTCACCTGATTTTTTAAAACTTACTTGGTTAAAGTCCTTCTGTCTCAAGTATGTAATTGCTTTGTTTATTTCCAGGTCATTTGCTAGCTCTACATATTGAGAAGCTTTCACAACTTCAACACACCTATAATGTAAAGCAGAAAAAGGTTATTTTGTTTAGTGTATGTATGTGTATGTGTGTGTGTATATGTATACCTCTTCAATGATCGGCGGTCCCTAGCCCCACCCAGCAAAGTAGGCTGTAGACACGGCTAATGAAACTTCAGGCTCTCCAAGAAAATAATCTGGAAACCACTGATTCAGTAATACATACACACACATATATACGTGGGTGGTTTTCTTAAATTTTTTCCAAAAATTTTAAAGTTCCCCTAGTGTTATATAAGGCTAAGCACTTGATTTCTTCCAAAAAAGGCATTAAGTTACTAAATTCTTCAATTCTAAACTAATTTTCCCATCTGAATGACAAACGAACATAAAGATCCTCTGAAAAGTCTTATTAGTGCTTCACGGATGCTAAAACGATTCTAAGCATTTATGATTTTTTCATTAGTTTGCAGTCACTTTTAATTATTTATGGCATTTTCAACAAATTGAATTGATATCCACATTCTTTTTTGGATTTACTAAATCCAAATCCATTTTTGGATTTACTAAAACAATTTCAATTTCTAACAGGTAAAATTGTTTTTATATTTTTTCATCTTAAATGCTCTGATAGTGAGAAAAACTCTAGAACTTGCAGAACATAGTTAATTTTTTGTGTACAAATGTGAACAGACTACAGAGCACAGATAATCTATTTTTAACTGTATATCAGGCACTGTACCAATTCCTTCATAAGCATTACCATCACGACAGCCCCGAAAAGCAGTCTCTGTTTTACAGATGGGAAAATAGAAGACCTGAGATCACACAGGCAGGAGACTCAAATAAGAATCTGAACTCAGTTCTCGTTGAGACCAAAACCTACTGCACCAAGACTAATGTTCTTAAAACTGAGGTTAGCTGAAATCAATTTAGAATTAACTGGATTAACAGGATTAATTTTAAACAAGGATCATGAGCTTTATTTAAGAAAAACAGGATAGAAAAAATATCAACGGGCATTGTACATAATAGGCGCAAGGACTGTGTCATGAAACTTGTTTTAGTAAATGATGTAAAACAAATTACTTACCAAGGGTCCGGTCAAAAACTGTTTCAAAGCCACTGGCCTACACCAATAATTTAAAACTATGAAAGCAGAAGATCCCATTCTTCAAGCAGAACCTTGTTTTTAACCCTGATTTATAAAAGTGTCCTTGTTTGAAGTGGTGAGAGAGGACACCAAGCTCTGTACCTCTTCAATGATCGGCGGTCCCTAGCCCCACCCAGCAAAGTAGGCTGTAGACACGGCTAATGAAACTTCAGGCTCTCCAAGAAAATAATCTGGAAACCACTGATTCAGTAATACATTCAGCAAACATTTACTGAATGCGTACTGTTTGGTACAGGGGCTGTCAGGATAAGTGAGATGTGGTTCATGCCCTTATGGGGAAGCAGGCAGTGAGGTAAATCCTGTGTAAGAACTGTCCTGAAGGAATACGGGAATACCGGGGTGGAGACTCTGAAGCACACCAGCAGCACCCTGCCCATAGACACCACCAGACGGCCAACCCAG